TATGCTTAATTCGAAAAATATATATAAATATATATATATATATATTCTGCAATTTTTTATTACATATTTATCGCGAGTCTTAAAAAGCAAATTACCCGTTTAATTTATTATTTTTCCGACTAATATTTTTTAAACGTTTTATTAAAATGTTTGAAGAAAAACGTAAGATAAGGGAGATGTTTCCTCTAATCTTGGAACATCTCTTGTTTATGGCTTCCTCTTGGATTTACAGGCTGTGAGCCTTTTTAAACAAGCTTTTGATATTAAAACATTATAACTGATAAGTCAAAAATAGATCGAGGAAAGGCTAAAATAAAAGTAATGACACGCGGATAACACACTGAAGGTATTAAAAAGCTTGTCTCTTTAGGAGGAGGTGATGGCAAGATTAATAAAGCAACTTTGTTGGATAAAGTAAAGAAGTTATGGGGAAAATGATGACATTTGTAAGGATATTATAATTATAAATGAATAAAAAATAAAATATAAAATAATAATGAAAATTATAAAAAGAATAGACAATAATATTTAAACTTTGTTTAAAATAAATCAAATACTGGACAACAGAAGGAAGGAAGGAAGGAAGGAAGGAAGGAAGGAAGACAAAAACGGAAGGAAGGAAAAGAAATGACACTATGACAAAGAAAGAAAGAAAGAAAGAAAGAAAGAAAGAAAGAAAGAAAGAAAGAAAGAAAGAAAGAAAGAAATGAAATGGCCACTTAACAAAAAAAGAAAGAGAAAAAAGAAAGAAAAAGAAAGAAACAGACAAACAAAGAATTGAAGTAAACGAAATGGCTGCATGACAAAGGAAGGAAGGAAGACAAAAAAGGAAGGAAAAAAAGAAAAGAAAGAAAGAAGAGAAATGGCAACATGACAAAAAAAGAAAGAAAAATGAAAAGAAATAACATGACAAATAAATAAATAAATAAATACAGAAAGAAAGAAAGAAAGAAAGAAAGAAAGAAAGAAAGAAATAAAGGAGAAAAAGCAACGATTTTCAGAAGTGAGAGACGAAAATGTGTTCGCGTAACGTCTTTGGGTACATTATGGTAGGTTAGTAACCCCCACCGTCAGTAGTGAAATCCCTTGGGAACTCACACGAACTAGTCAAGTTGTTTTGAAGTCTGGCCTTTTTGGGCAAAGAGATAAAGGCCGAAATAAACTTCAAGACGAAGCTTTGAGTACTAATTGATTTAAAAGCGGACAGTCAGTACATTAAGGATAAAGACAAAGTGGCAACATTCATTTCGCTTTAGCATCGAATTCCTATAAAAATCGGGGCAATATAAGGACTATAGAGTATTAACCAAAGAATAGCAGGCGTCGAATAGTCGCCTGTGTCCAAATCTTGCAAGCGATTGACAGTTAGTTCGTCCGTCTCCTCTTATTCCTTAATCCTCAAACAAGTAAATTTCTTTATTTACATTATTCGGACTATTGTCCTCATCTTTGCCGCCATATTTATTACAACGTTTCGGCCGTTGTACGCTCCGGTCTTCTTCAGGTGGTTGGAATGTCGAACTGAAATTAAATTAAGTAAATTTCTGCACAGAACGTGGCATTTTTAATAGGCGCTGCAAAATAGTTGCCGGAACCCGAGCATGGTCCTATTTTAAAGTCCGCACTGGTCAAATAACATCAGAATGTTTTTTCTTCAGTTAGCCGCTTCCCCCGGCGTAAACGTGTATATACGTTTTTACATAAAGTGTCTTTTGCTGACACAGACGAATAAATACGTCCTTTAGACTGGCTTTTTAGTCTAAAAAAAAACAATCGGCTAAAAATTCTCGCTGAATTCTATATGTACAATTAAGGTTTTCCGTTTCTCGTCACTTTGAATATGTTTCGCTAGTTCAATGTATGTTCGGATTTCGGTGTCGCATTTTCCATCCCCTGTTAAATGACTGATTGATTTGTTTTCTTACGGGTTATCAAACCTTTGCAGGTTATTTATGATTTGATTTGATTTGTTTTAAAACCTGAATTTTTTTTAATTGTAAGAATTTTGTTAAGATAGTAATGGTTTAGTAATACAACTCTTGCTGATTCGTCCATAGCTGGCGAAGAGGTGAATTTATCCCTTTCCCAAAGGAAATTGCGCGTAAGTGAATATAACAAACCCAAAAGAAATTGGAACTCAGCTCTCCGATTTCCAATTCTGAGCCATTAACCATTACACCACCCGCACATCCAAGCTTACAGCACTGGTATTCCCAAGCGGCTTTGACTAAGCTCATCCTCTGTTAAAATGCTTTCCAGATATTTAAATTTCTACACCAGTTTGATGTTCACATTTGCAATTTGTAAATCGTATCTTGGACCCTTGCTGATGACCATACTTTCTATGATCTTCGTTATTTCTTTTTCCAAGTTTCTTCTACCGCCATGTCTAGGAGGTACTGTAGTTTTTTTTCCGAGTCAGGCATCAATATAATATGATGAGAAACGGAAGATTTCATTAGAATCAAAGGAAACGGTGCTGTATTGCTATGCCATATCCAATAATGCTGGACAATCTCCCAACAGATGAGGAAAAATCTAGAAGCAGTAGAAATGTGGTTCTACAGAAGGATACTGAGAATTCAATGGACGGAACTAGTAAGCAAGAAGGAAGTCTTAAAGAAAATAACAACAGAAAGAACACTTCTACTAAGAATCAAGAAAAGACAGCTGAAATTCCTTTATCATATAATGAGGAAAGAAGGCTTGGAAAATTCACGGGGCATATTGAGGGCAAGAGGGAAAGGCACCAATCCACCTACCCGACGAATTTCTGTGAATGGGTGACGATACGGTAGGATGTAGGCTTTAACAAATGGGGAAAAACTGATAAGGTCCCCAAGGGATGGGATGCTGTGGAGAGCTATGGTCACTTATACCCTGAAATCTAATTCCATCCCCTAACGCTCACTAGTGTAATTTTACTACCAGCAATCCCTTCCACCTAGCCCGACTTCATAATAATATTTACGCAAATTAGCATATTGCAAAATAGCCTATTCGTAAAAGATATGTGCCGCGTAAGAGATTCGTTCTTGATGTAGATCTTGTTAGGCACGATTTTCAGGTAACACATAACGTTCCAATCAAATATTGTCTGGGAATATTGTCTTAGCAGCTACCATAAAAGTTGCAATCAAATATTGTCTTGACCCCAAACTGAGCACTCATTCTCAACGTTTAACCATAAAAAAAATCCCGCACTGGTCAAATAACATCAGACTATTTTTTCTTCAGTTAACCCGTTCCCTGGCGTAGACGTGTATATACGTTTTTACCTAAAGTGTCTTTTGCAGACACAGACGAATAAATACGTCCGAGCATAACGTTCAAAAGCCATCTACAAACGTCGATCTTGTTTCTTTTTACGTTTTTCTGAGCTTGAAACGAGTCAACCAATACGTCTGGTAGAGGTTTTAGCCACCCCTCGGGTACTTCAAGGTTCCTCAGTTGCTTAGTTACCATATTAAAAATAAATTCTTCTGAAATTGAAACGTTTTTTACCCAAAATAATTGGTGGAGAAAAGGTTTTCTTAATTAGAATCACTAATTTAGTTGATGGGTGAACGTTCTGGTATTTTCCTGGAATTTATTACTCATCCCTTTTTAATGTAATCTTACAAGGTAACGTATTTGCAACGTTATAATGTAACATGGCGAGCACGCTATGAAGGAGTCTAGAAAAAACGTTTTTGCAACCTCAATGTAAAGTTGCAAAAACGGATGGAATTTTTTTCCGCAAATGTTGGACCTTCCTCCCCGCAAAAAAACAAAAACAAAACAAAACAAGAAAAAGAACGGAGTGTCAAAAGGACAGTTTTTCTCTTGACGCCGTTATTATTTTAACTACCTTCACTCCTCGTCAATGGTTATTGTTTTAGAAAGCGATGATTGGAATTTTAATAAAATCTAAACATACAAAAGTGAATTTATACATTTTATTTATTCTTGAGAATTGACAACAAAAATAATAAACACTATTGCTGGGGAGTGAAGGTAGTTTAAATAATAGCGGTGTCAAGGTAAAATCCGTCCTTTTTTAGGACACAAATGTCCAAGATTGACATTTTTCTTATCGTAGATCTTAGCAACATTAGCATGTAATTTTTTAGATTTGTTCTTATCGTAGATCTTATTAAGCAAATTAAAAGTCTAATAACAATAACTAATAATGAAGCAATTCTGCCATTATACTGTAATAAAAATGACGGTAGTTCCCGTGTGTTAAGACGATACAAGTGGTAAGATGCACCCTATAATTAAATAGTTTTTTTTGGTTTATTTTTTTTTAATATTTGATGATTGAATAACTTACCGTACAAGCAAGCAGGGTCGGTGCGTACTATTCCCCACCCTCAACTAGCAGGATAAACCAGATTGGAGGCCACGGGACAGTCCTTTGTGACCCTCAATATCTTATCAACATTTGCTTTTTTTCTACGTATATATGCGTTACAAATTAATCTAAGCATAACTAATAAAGGATTTTGACGTCATTCTGGGGAGGGGGGGTCTTCTTTTTGCGTCCAAATCCGTGAATTTGTTTTGCTCATATTAAGTCCCGAAAAACACCATATAAAATTCACTAATTTTTTTTTTTTTTATCCATAACTAACAGTAGAGCCCGGCGTTGCCCGGGGATGTAACAGTAAGAGATAGATCAAGTATCGACCATCATAAAGACTGAAAAATAAAATTGACAAAGATTATTGTTTAAGGTTGACGGATACGCATGTCTTAATCATTTTTTTTTTTTTTTTTTTTTTACGAATTGGTCAAATCCAAACTCAAACAAAAAACATTGTTTTCAATCGTTATGAGTCTACCGATTGAATAGAATTTTATTATAAACAATTGTCTTGTAAATGGAATTTTTAAAGCATTCTGAAAAAAAAATAAAGAAAAAAAGTGTGCAAGATAATAAGAAACACTACCTGCCAAAAAAAAAAAGTGAAGTTTTGTTGAAATCGGTTGAAAAATGTAGGAAATCCGATCCCATATATAAACGAACACACACACACACACACACACACACACACACACACAACCTGGGTTTTATAAGTATAACTTGATATGAGTTGCCCCCCTTTCATTCTCGAAACAGCGATGCCTCTTAATTTCGCGCAAAAACAATTGTGTTTTTCCAATTTTTGACACTGTCAGAACCACCGCAAGGTAATTTTACGTAGTCCTGTGAAGTTTTGTTGAAATCGGTTGAAAAATGTAGGAAATCCGATTCAATATATAAACGAACACACACACACACAACCTGGGTTTTATAATAAGTATGATGTTGAATGTGTTAAAATTATTGAACTTTTTAACAAGAAAAATCTCAAGTTAACATTAAAAATTTCTGAATAACATTGTTGTTTTATTTCAGATGGAACAATCTATTATGACATGTCTCTAATTTATATTTAGATACATTTTATTTTATTTATTTTCCATTTTTCTAGTTGAATCATTCACATAGATTGCATATGATCCATTTTTATGCATAATTAGGTTACAATATGTATCAGTATTCAATACACGGACATTTGTATTTTATACGAATACTACCTTATGAAAATTGAGATGTAATAGAGTGGGGGGGGGGCGTATCATAGATTGGGGTTCCGTGTCATAGATTCAAGTGGCCCCGTGTCATAGATTCGAGGTGGAGGCATATAATAGATTCGGTGGGGCTCCCGAGACACTTGCACCGGCCCTGCTAGCAAGTCCGAATGCCAACCCTACACTATCAGTTATCTTTCTGTCACAACAAATTATTACATTTGGGACCTATTATTAAATATTTGTGGCTATTATTAATTAGATTTTCAACAGTTCAGCACACGATGTTGTGCTTATTCACAGCAGAAACAACTCGTACTTGCCACGACATATCGTCGTAACACACCGGCGTGTTTACATCTGACTCCCAGCTGATGTTTCAGGGCTGCGTTCAAGAGCGTAGACAGTGTGTTACTTTGGCATTGCCACTGCCACAGTCCGCTATTAATGTATAGATATATTACCGACTATCCATTTGTATTATTACAGTAAAACAGAGAATACTATAAATGTAATACGTTTGTACACAGAGGTGGTGTCAGCTGTCAGTCGGAACAACATATTGTTGTGGTGTGATTTCACAGTGGAGGCTTTATTTGTACTAAGTCGGTCCTAAAATAGGTTCGACGTACAAAACGTTAGGAACTTGATATAATAGGTATAACGCAGAGTAATCTAGTTGTGGTCGCTGATACTTTAGTGTTCGACTAACTGTCGTCCGACATCGACTCACTCACTGACTCCTGAGCGACTCTTACTACTTCTACTTATTATAGGTGGGAGAGTCTATTAACTATAGAATAGGTGTGTTCCACTATATATATATATATATATATATATATATATATATATATATATATATATATATATATAATATAGACTACCCGTGACTAGTTGGGTCACTGACGGTTCAGCTTATAAAAAGTTCGTCTTAGGATAAGGAAAGTGCGGTATGCTGAAAATTCTTTCTTGTCGTAAATCCTAACTTTTCTTCCTGTCTTTATTAAGTCAATAAATGTCCCCTTTTCACTTAAAGGGAACACTTTGTGATTTCTCTTTGGTATAGATCCTCATAAGGCAAATGGATGTGACGAGATACTAGCCGTCGTCTTAAAGAAATGTGTTCCCGAGCTGGCTCCGGTTCTCTCCAGACTCTACAACTATTGCCTCGCTGCTTCCTGCTTTCCTCTTCTGTGGTCCCTGTTTTTGGAGAACCTTCTGACCGCTCTAACTATCGCCCTATTTGTCTTCTACCGCTTTTCGGCAAAATATTCGCGGCTTTAATCAATGCTGAAATGGTTAAGCATCTTCCCTCTTACGACCTACTATCTGACAAACAATATGGATTCCATTTTACACGGTCTACCGCTGATGTGATTACGGTCATCACTGAATATGTATATGAAGCTCTTGATAATAACGGCGAAGCTCTAGATGTGGCTATAGATATCTCAAAGGCATTTGACAGGGTTTGGTATGCTGGTCTTCTACATAAGCTTCAGGGCTATCGTATTACATGATGATTGTTTGATTTAATCCAATCATTCCTATCAAATCGTGAAATAAAGATGGTTCTGAACGGGCTCGTTTCCAGATCATTTCACATGAACGCGGTTATTCCCCAAAGCTCTATATTGGGTCCTACGCTGTTTCTGATCTTCATCAATGATCTTCCTGGTGTCATCAGTTCTCAAGTAGGCCTTTATGCAGATAACACTACCATTTATTCCTGTTTTAATAGCAAATCCGTCAGAGATGACAAAATTAACCTGGCCGCTGCTCTTGAAAAGGACCTCCAAACAGTGGCTAACTGAGACAGGAAATGGCTTGTAAATTTTAATGCCTCCAAAACTAAAATGCTCTCATTTGACCACCATAGAGAAACTGCCTGCCATCACCATGGCTGATGCTCGAATCCAGGAGAATGTCTCAATGCAACTTCTTGGCCTCATGTTTTCAACTGAGTTGAAGTGAATCAACTATATTGAATCAATAGTTGAATCTATTACAAGAAAAAATGGTTCATTGTGTCGTACCAGAAGGTTTTTTCTCGTCTTGCACATTTAGAGATCTACCATTCGTCCGTGTATTGAATACTGCTACTATATCTTGTCTCTTGCTTCTGCTGTTCATCTCGAGGTTCTTGACAAAATCCAAAGAAGGATCTGTTATGTAATCGATCATGACTTGGCATATTAACTTCAGTCACTTTCTCACCAACGTGACATGGCTTCCCTCAATCTTTTCTACAAATATTTTCATGGCAACTGCTCTGACGAACCTTTTTTTTCCTCTGGTGCCACGACTACAGGAATTTAAGTATGCTACTAGATTGGCATCTAGGTCCCACCCTTTTAATGTTGAAATAGCCACTTCTACTCTAACAGTTCTTTTGCTCGCACTTCCCGATAGTGGAACTCCATCCGCTTACTTGCTTCCCTGATAACTACAATCTTGAAAATCTTAAATGCAACATCAACCATCATCTTCTGTTGACTTGAACCCCGTTCATATTTTATCGTTTCCTCAATTCCACTCTTTACCCAGTCTTTTCTCTCACTTTTACTCTCTGTAATCCCTTGCGTACTAGCGGCATTGTTTGAGGTAAAATGATTATATATATATATATATATATATATATATATATATATATATATATATAAACGGTAACTATTTCGTCTAAAAATCTTCTTCTTATTGCTTGAAAGTTCTTTTTTTTACATCCGATCGTTTCCGAGAAAGTGACAGCTTATATGAACAATCATCAGCAATACAAGACATAGAGGGTAACCACTTCGTTTCCGTGTACGCTTGTCGTTGGCTAGCTAAGATGTGTGAAACTTCAACACCCACAAAGCCAGTCAGTGACTTATTCTACAACCATGCTGTTCGTACCTTTGTTAGAGTTTTACATAATCAGGCGTGATCAACATTACGATTACAATTGATGGCTTCAAACAGTTTCACTTACCCAATTTTGCTTACAAGGTTTGAGTCAACATGTGGTATGCTTTTCAGACACTTCCCAACGGTATCGAACGCCCTAAGACAATAATATCATGGTCGCTTCGCCGACAAATCCATCAGAGTGAGATTCCTCTCATAGCAAGAACTTTTGATTCTGTGGGTCAAGAAGCAAGGTACTTAAGCTGGCGTCCGCTGCAGCGATCTCCATCTTTTTTAATATTTATTTTTCATGCTCTCCAGAAGATTGCATCACCAATATCAACAACAAACAATCAAAAAACATGCACTGCTCTCACTTGTTGAAACTCAGTTCAATTTATGCACATATCGACCAGCACATCACGCACGAGCAAAATACGACTATAAACCGAAGCCAAATATTAGTGAATAATACCAAAATACACTACATCACCCAATGCAAGGAAAGACTCAAAATACCGGAATCCATTATTACACAAAATAACCAACGTACCGCAATATCCCCCCCACCAAATAACGGTTTGTTGAAAAGGACAGTTTTTTCTCTGACACCGCTTTTATTTTAAATACCTTTACTCTTTGCCAATGTTTATTATTTTAAAAAGCGATTATTAGAATTTTAATAAAACTGACCACGGGCCTTTTACAGGGTGAATCTTATTGTAAAAAAAAAAAAAATGAAAGTGAATTTATAGAGATAGTTAAAATAATAGCAGTGTCAAGGGAAAAACCGTCCATTTGATACACTGATACACCGTTTTTTTTTGGGGGTATTTCTTTTTTTTCTTTTTCTTTTTTTTGGCTTCAGGCATGAAGTTTCTGCTTAAATATTGCCCACCATAAATTCAATGAAGTAAATTTCACCACCGAAGACAATATTTTGAAGGGTGTATAAAATATTAATATATGCAAAAAAAAAAAAAAAAAAAAAAAATTCAAATGGCTGGATATAGCCAACGGAATGTGCCTATTACATTAATTGCACTTGCACTACACAAATGCCTGAAAAGGTGGAAAATATTTGAACAAAGAAAACGATCCACAATTTCGATCCTAATAAACAACATCCTATTCGAAAATTAGAAAAATAGAATAATATTAAACAGAATGACCTTCTCGGTTAAATTTAATAATGCCTGTTTGGATGAATACGTGCTGCTTAAATATACTTTATAAAGAGAAAGAGAGAGAGAGGGGGGGTGAGGAGGAGGAGGAGGAGGAGGAGGAGAGAGATCAATTTTCTTTAGTTATTTGTTTCCTTAACTTCGTTCTATATAGACGTCTATTTGTTGAATTCTCGTGGACATGTCTAAGTTGATGTGTTTTCTCAGATAAAGAGAAGCAGGGGAAAGAAAAAGAGACTGACACGAAGAGAGAAGAATTTAGGTGAAATGGGGGGGGAGTGATAGAATGAATGAATAAAGGGGAGACGAAGAAGAGGAAAGAAATTGAGGAGAGGGCGAGAGAGAGAGAGAGACCGAAAAACAAAACACGTAGCGTCATTAAAAAAAAAAAAGACCAGAAAAATATATAAATAGATTTAAAAAAAATGTAAGAAACGGTGAAAAAGGAAAAAAAAACAAGAAAGAAAAATGAATGAAAACCAATAAAAAGAGAATTAAAAAAAACGGACGAAAGTGAAAAAAAAATGGAAAATTCTAAAAAGAAAGAAAGGTAAGATAAGGACAAAAAGGTGAAAAATGGATTCTAGTATGAAAGTGAAAAAGAAGGAAAGATGATTGCGAAAAAGTATTATAAGAAATGGATGGCATCAAGGGAAGAAAAATAGACGAAAAAGAAAGAGAAAAAATGAAAAAAAAATAACGAAAGAGAATTAAAAGAAAGAAGTAATGTTTATAAAGAAAAGAATAATAAAAGAAAGAGAACAAATTGATAAAATATGAGAAAAAGAAAGAAATTCGAGAAAGTGAAAAGAAAAAAAAGCGGAATGAAGAAAATGTTGAGAACGAAAGAAAGAAAAAAGGAAAGACAATTGAGAAAGTCTGATGCAAAGTAAAAAAAAAAGGAAAAAAATGAAAGAAAAGGAAGAAAAAGAAAGAAAATTTATAAAGAGCAAAAAGATAAGAAAGAAAGAAAAAAAGAAGGAAAATGAAAGATGGAAGAAAAAAAGGAAAACAACGAAAAGAAAAAAGGAAGAAAATTTGGTGAAAAAAAAAAAGAAAGGAAAGTGGAATGAAGTAAAGAAAAGTAAAAAAGAAAAAAAAAGAAAAACGAAAGAGAAAAAGAAGAAAAAATTTATAAAGAACAAAAAAGAAAAAAGAAAGATAGAAATGAAAGAAAGTGAAAAATGGAAGATAAAAAAAAATACTGAATAGAATAGGAGAAGAAAAATTGATAAAGAAAGAAAGAAAGAAAAAAGTGGAATGAAGGTAAATAAAGGAAAAAAAAAAAAAAACGAAAAAGAAAAAATGCGTATGGAAGCGACCAAGAAGCAATTGGCCAGGTAGATATGAGCTGGGGTAGTGTGGAAAGTTCATTTTAGAACGGGGTGGGGTCTAAATATTCACCCGACCGCCGGGCCGCGAGGTTGAGTTTGGACGAGAGAGGGGCCCGATGGGTGCGAGGTTTGAGAAGACTTCACCGCTTGTGGCGCGGAATGCAGAGATAAGAGTTGTAGAGCCTGTAACTAGGGTGCCATGTTTACGCCGATCCTCACCACGACCCACGGTACCCCTGCCTTGCAAGAAAAATATAACAGCAAAAAAAAAAAAACTTTTCATAGAAAGGAAAATAGAAAAATCAAGGCAGGATTTGTACTGAGTTAGGGTAGGTAGACTGGGGGTTGTTCAAGGAAGAAAGGGCGCGGCCAACTGAATGAAGAAAGAAAGACGACATCAAGGTGGGGAGGAAAAAAACGCACTCACACATACACATAATATATACATGCACTGACATACACACACGTGCGTGCGAACACACGCATATATATATATATACACACACACACATATATGCACAGACACACACACATATATAGGGAGAGAGGGACGGAGACAAATAGAGTGTTATACATATATATATGTATACACACAAACACACACACACACACACATATATATATATATATATATATATATATATGCACAGACACACACACACACATACACACACACACACATATATATATATATATAGGAAGAAAGGGACGGAGACAAAGAGAGGGTTAGGGTGTGTATGTGTATTATTTATTGGAACTCACACACGGTTGTACAAGTATACATACACATATCTAGAAGTGAAGACGCATACACACGCAAATATATATATAAAACATTTCCATATTATATATTTACATATAATACACATTTTAGAAAATATAAGCATGTGTATAAAAAGGAATGGTGAATATGTATAAAAAATCACACATGTATAAAAATATATATATATATATATATATATATATATATATATATATATATATATATATATATATATATATATATATATATATATATATATATATATATATATACCTTATCTATATGTATGTATTCACTGCACTACACTCGCCTTGTGCGTTAAATACTTGGGCGGTAACCTAAAAAAAAAATATATATATATATATATATATATATATATATATATATATATATATATATATATATATATATATATATATATGGGGGTGGTTCATGTAAAGGAAACACGTTATTATATCAATATTATATATATAAATATATACCTGATGTATCTCATATGGATAGCATCATCTATTTTGTACTTACATGAATACTCATTACTGTACGCACGTCCTTATGCACGCACACAGTCCAAAAAACACATGTCTACGTCTTACCTATACATAAGCATATACGTATTTATACTTGTCTGTGAGAATATTTGGTCACAAAATGGTACATGCCTATATATATATATATATATATATATATATATATATATATATATATATATATATCAGAAGAAGAAAAAAATGATTTAAAAGTTCTCGATCAGACCTAATTGTTCCCACCCTACAAAATTCTGATCTTTGCTCTCATGGTTAGTGCACTGGACTCTACAGCTCCGTCTCGTGTATATTGTGTATTTGAGCAGCAATCCCTCTTTTATACATGTTACATTAAAGACGACCGAGAAGGTACCGCGATTAAGCTTTTTATTTAATTTTTTCTTGTGTTCGTTCCTGGACACAAAGTGAGTAAGAATAGTCCAAAAGTTTTGCATATCTAAGCGCTTTCGGTTATTCTTTTAGCCATTACCAAAGATGCTGTTCATGTTTTTTTTGTTTTTTTTAATTGAATGTGTGTTTTTCTTTATGTATGTGTCCTGTGTTACAGGAAGGTCAACAGGTTGTGGCCGTATTCACAGTTAATTTTATTGACTGTTGGCTTTTCCTTTCTTATTATTAGTGTTTCCTTTATTTTTAATCTTTTTTTTTAATGGGAATGAGGTCATAATGCTTGTATTTTCTACGAGTATGTTTCGGATGGAGTCGGGTAGGTTTCTGTGTCTGTTTAAATGAATCCTAATTGAGGTATGGTCGGGAAGGTGCAACTATTGGACATTTTACACACGCTGCGCCCAGAAAAGAAAATTCTTGTACGAACACAGGAAAAATTATATATATATACATTGGATATGCTGAACTTTTGGAAGACATATATATCATTTAAATCATTTTTCTTCTTCTTCTTCTTCTTCTTCTTCTTCTAAGAAAAAAAAGGATCGATTTGCGACAGCAACTACTATCTCTAAAAGAGCTAATTCTAACCTTGGCATTAAAATATCAAGGAGCACTATTTCCCGAGGACTTAATGAAATAAATTTCAACTGTCGAGTAGCCTCTACGAAGCCTTACATTTCTAAAAAGAATCAAATGAGCCGATTGAAATTTGCCATTGAACACGTCATATAGACAGAAGAACAGTGGGATTGTGTTCATTTCAGCGATGAGTCAAAGTTTAACATGTTCAGTTGTGAAGGGAGAAGGTTCGTTCGACGCAGTCCTAAGGAACGATATTCGCCTCAGGACACTAAAAGTCTATTGGTCAAACCTGTCAGTAATAAATGTTGTGACAAAATCGGATGCTTCGAACTACTTTGTTTTGTACATTTCTTTTGCGAAGGGAAAGTTCTGCTCATTTACCGTTTTCTTAGAAATGCCGCATCATCGACGTCAAAAAACTCTTTTTTAAAAAAACGTATTCCCAAAACAAATTGAATGATGTATCATTTCTTTCTTACTGCAAACTTTGTATCACGACATCGGCTGACTGGTGGGCTTCAGCCGCTGAAGGCCCAGGCGATTGAATCGTCCGACTAAGATTATCTGTCTGCTTTAATTTTTTTTTTCGCCAGCTAAACAACCGAAATGAAATGAAAACTTTCATGGAAGTTTCCTGTTTGGGAAATTTTCAAGACACGAAAATTATTAGAATTCAGGTGGAACAAGAGCTTAAATTATTCGTTTGTGCATCGATGATTCTGATTTTCATCTCGATGTCTCTTATGAACAAAAGAGATTGCTTCCATAACGCCATCAACACATTATGATTGGAAATTTTGGAAGAGAGAGTGGTCCCACACACTGTTCATCTTGTTGGGCAAAAAGCGTGGGGGCTTTTTTCTTCATTTCCGCTGTCATGTCTCAATTTTCTCAAGAACGTTTCTCTTTACGGAGATTTTTTCAGCAACTTACAATCCTCCTTTGCAATATCAAAAGTGTCTTCCAAGCATCGAACTTGTATACAGACATCTTTCATGGATAGATTGAGTGCATGCCTAAAGCAGTTGGTGTACAAACACTTTCAGTTAAAGGATTTGAATTGAGCGGTCACACCAGATTCCTTTCTCGCAGCGCCATCATAACATTTTCCTCTTGCCTTTTCCAATTTTACATTAATTTGAGTAAGTGTGTTCTTAAACAAGCATATCAGCGATACAACGCTCCATGGGTTTCATGGCAACAATTTCTTCTCGCGCCATCAAGGTGTTCTTGTCAATCCAACATGCATATCAATACCTACTCTTGATTCGATGTGTCTACTGTTTCATCGGACATAATCCTAAAATGTTTGGCTGATTGTATTTGTCTAAAGATATTATGAAAGATCCCAAGTACCATTACCTCAACCATCTCATTTTGAATTTCAAGACTGATATAATTCTCTGTTACTTAGCATTTCGTCATCTTTGCATCTTAGCAAAAGCAGCTGGGGAAAATTAGAATCAACTTCGCTTCCTGGTTCCTCTACACGCAAATCCCTAGTGACCCGCTGGCGGTCCGCCGATTACAACGCCAGTGGTTCTCTGGTGGTAGCCATTGGCGGGCCTTTAGCGGTCTGCCAGTGGTAACATTACCGAGACGAACACGCCGGCAGTCCGCCAGCGAGCCACAAGCGTTAAACTCGTGGTATGCCACCAAGTGACAGATTGGTGGCTTGCGTGTAGAGTTGTTACTCCAACTACCTTGAAGGGGCAGTGACCGTCGAGCTCCGTATCAAATATTTGAGCGAATCTTTAACAGCATCTTGCGGTTTTGACTTTATTTCATGGCTTCCTCTGACGAGATCATGTTTACAACATCGTTTGTTTTGGCTTCTTGATGAGGGTTTGAGACTTGGTGTTTTACAAACCCTTTTGATTTTTCACCGGCCTTCCTCCAACTATAAAATTCTGTCTTTGTAAAGGCATCTCCTTGGAACAAGGACTGCACTGAGAGAGATTTATCTTCAGCAACTTTTAGACAGATAATACAAAATGCGGTGTCTCTTTATTCGTGATAATGCAACCACTGGTAATTGTCATGGGCCTTTTGATCCACTCTTTAGGAAGTCCTTTTTCCTTGGTTGAGTCGGAGTATTTATATGGCAAATGTCTAGGACAACATTTTTCATGTGATTTACTTCTGATGATTTTTTCTGAGACTTCTGGTGGTCCAGGACATGGTCAGTTTGATATCAACTGGAGTTGGTCGCTGAAACTAATAGATTCGTGACATTGTGAAAAGGGCTGCTTACATTAAAATTTTCAAGAACAAGTTGTTTTGAAGAAATCACCTATCGTTAGGGTTAAATTTAATGCATCAAAGTAGAAAAACCTACAAAACTTGTATAACTTTTAATTTTGCCGTGAGAAAGTTGATTTTATTTGAAAGAACATGGATTCGGAAAGATTCTGATATAAAAAATTTTTTTTTACGTTAAGTAAAACAAAAATATAAGCATTCCAAATATTGATTTTCTATACTTTCAAAAATTCGAGAAAATTCACGGAAATTCGCGAAAATTCGCGATACCTAAGGTTTAAAACGAATTTTATAAATGAAAAATCTTTTTAGAAGGTTTTTATCGTTCAAGTTAATACGTTAAATTTAATATTCCCACTAATCAAAATACATGAAAACAACTACTTTAAAAAAACTGGAGGAATTTTTTTTTTTTTTTTTTTGTAAAAAAAATTGAATTTAGCGCCATTTTTTGTCCGCATTTATTTAACGGTAATTCTCTTTAGTCTAAAT